AATTTCCTATCCTCATTTTGATTTTTTCATAAATAGTTTTTTTGGTAAGCAGATTGTATCTGTTTTTTCTGTTACATTTAAGCTCATAGAATCCTCTCCTGCGTTGCCCACAGAACATTATATATTCACTTTTGTTTTATGTACTTTTTGCTCCTTTAGCACAAGTGAGACTAGTTTCCTTTACAATTAGTATTACATATGATGGCCTATAAAAGTCCCAGCAGTTTACTAATTGTTGACTAATTTCCATTTATATAAAAATGTTATACCTTCCCGATTAAAGTAAATTCAGGCTTATTTTTTCCTTTAAATTATATAGAAGCAGTGACTGTAAAACTGTTTGTTTCCTGTGCCATTTAAAATTCTTCCTGGAGTTATTTGTGTGAAAATTATCTCACAAGTATGTGAACTTGTGCTGAGATAATAACAGTCCATAAAACAAAATGTATGTTTTCCTAAACTTTCCTCTTCCTCTTCTTAGAATTTTATAGAATCTTCTATCACATTGTTTGAATCTGACCTAGAAAGTGGGAAGTTTATTGACATTACAAATCAGGAAATTTCTGACTTAGAAGAAACTGGCTTTGGCAGTGAAATAAGATCCATTCACGTTAAAAGTGGAGTGTAAGTTGTCCCTTATTCTTGAGAACCTTGAGAAATTCTTTGGTGTTTAAAAATATTATTTGCTTGATTGAACATCACTTCTGTTCTTTTTCCGTTTTTCCCCTGCTAGATGGGTTGCCTACCAGCAGAAGTTCTTCTGTGGAGAACAATACATTTTAGAGAAAGGGAAATACAAATGCTTTTTCGATTGGGGAGGATCAAATAATATAATCATGTCGATACGACCTATCCAACTGGTGAGTGAAAGACGAAGATAACCAATGCCAGTGGCATGTAATAGTATGCAACTGAACAAGTGGGAAACACTTTTATTTTTACCTTTTACCCTGACAGTTTTTGAAATTGACAGTTAATAATTGTACATATTCATGGAATACATAATGATGTTTTGATACGTGTAACGGATAGTGATCAGATCAGGGTAATTATTAATATATCCATCATCTCAAACATTTGTCATTTCTTTGTGTAGGGAACATTGAATATACCCCAAAATTATATAATATTGTCATCCTACAGTGGTATAGAACGCTAGAACTTATTTCTCTTATCTAGCTGTAATTTTGTATCCTTTCACACTTTTTAAGAGTGGAATTTTTAAATTATGTATATATATAGAGAGAATGAAATAGCACATGAATTTCTATAGACCGCATAGAGAGCTAGTAGATACTAACACACGAATGAGATGGCTTCGTAATTTGATCAGTTCATTTATTCAACAGCATTTTTTTAGTGCCTCTAATATGTTGGACACTGTGCTGATCACCAGAGATAAAAGATGAAGAAGACTTCCCTGATGGGTCTCAGTCTCTGAGGGGAGATAGATGTAGGAACAGTTAATTATACTACAATCAGCGAGAAAATAAGTGTGTAGATTGTGCTGGGGAAGCAGAGGAAGGGAACACTCAGTGCCTGGGGATTTAGGGACCTTTCCACAGAAGAGGATGTGTTGAGTGACAGCTTAAGGGATAAAAGCAATTTTTCCAGGCAGAAAGGGCATTTCACAAAGAGGGAATAATCTCCTTGTGTGCAAAGTCATGAAGTTGTTGAAAGAGTGAGGCCAGTTTGGATGATAACCAACATTGCAGAACAATAAGAGTGCCCATGAAATAGTGGTCAGAAATTCACACTCCAGCTTTGTAACAGACATTGGGGTAGGTTTTTCTTTCAGCTACAATATTATTCAAAATGAATTAGTCATAAGTACTAAATTTATAAGAGAATTCAATAGGTTACGTGAAGGTTATAGAC